TAATACTTTCATTATATAACATTTTATATCATTATAATTATATGCATTATAGTTATTACTAGAATAGTTCATACTTTTATTGGGTTCTTTATATGCCAAACACTTAAAATACAGAGACCATATGGTTTTCATCTTTGTTCAGAAAAGAGGGAAATGAGATACAAAGAAACGTCTTGCCCCTAAGTGACAGAGCCAAGACTTGAAACTGAGCTTTATCGTGAGTTAAGTGCAGTTTACGGATTAGCCTCTCCAGTCCTCATAGCTGCTCCCTCTGGGACAAGGGTGCTGGTGCCAAGTTAGCTCCAGTTCTTATTTTCTGTGGTTCTAATGTCACCAGTCCACCCAGCAATCACACTGTCAGGAGTCCCTGACATGGGACTTGGTAGACCCCAGTGGGGTCACAGTTCACAAGTGGTATGCTCAGCATAATGTTATCTGATTTGCTTTCCTCTCCCGGTGTCCCTGTGCCTGCTTTGAAGTCACACAGCTCTCGCTGCCAGTGTGACCCTGCCACCTTAGCAGTGACAAGAGGCGCAGGGAGACCTGTCTGAGTTGTGCTGTCCTCTGTGTTTTCAGGAAGGTGCATTCGCGTTGGTTTTCAAGAGCATTCATTACCCTGGAGAAGCTGTTGCCACAAGGTGAGGCAAAATTTGTGAGCGTTTATGACAAAAATGTTTTTAAAAAATAAAACTAATTAGCCTTGACTGACTAAAATTCTGTGTAACTATTCTTTTTGAGAGATTGAGTCTCCTATTTGACAACTAAGGTTAAGTTTAAAGTAAAATTGCTCTTTCAGGAGGTTGGAATGCATGTTTAAATTTGAAGTATTACCAGTTTCCAAATAAAATAGCCTCTGTCCAGAAGTACAAGAGAAAGTTAGAGGACTTCCTTGTGTGAGGGAGGATACTAGCCTCCTTTTGGGTGAGGAATTTCAGGAATAGAGTGAGTTAGTTGCAAAGATGAATTGCCATGTACATTCATCACGGATTTGAGTTGTATGCTGTGGTTTCTAAGATTCAGTAAAGAATTCTATTTTGGATTGGAGACAAGATGGCATTAAAATAACAGAGTAATACCTTAACCACATTTGCTGCTAGAACTTGTAAGCCAGAAATAAATACCACATAAGTTGCTTTACTGGAGAGACTTTTCTAAGATACTCTGGGAGCCAGGAGGCTGCTGGTGGTTGAGCTTGGGAACACTGGAAGAGAACTGAATTAAGGCCTTAGTCTAGATCAGGCATAGAAATGCCTCAAGACTTTTCCTTGTAGAAATTGTCTCCTTGATGATGATGTCACAGTTTGTGCAAATCCTAGATCCTAAACTTAATCTGTAAGGTATCAATTCACTCACTCACTTCCATCAAGTCAGAACCAGTTTACAGCTGACTTTCCAGTTTTCTGAGGCTGTCAATCAAGCATGAAGACATTGCCCACTTTTCTCCTGAGGAGCCACTGTGAAGTCAAACCGTGAGAGAGATACAGCCTTTGTGTTAGCAGTGTATCTCCCAACCTCCTAGGCCACTAACGCTCCCTTAGCTTCTATAAGATGTCAATGAGGCAGAGGAAAAACCACCCTTTTGAAAATGCGTTAAGCGGTCCACAAAGCAAGATATTGACAACCTAGTCATTTAAATGTAGCTCTGGTAGCCTAGAAGTAAGAAAATGCACTGCAATCCTAAAGGCACATGGTTCAAATCCAAAAGTTCCACAGGAGATGGATGGGCAATCTCTCATTGTGAAACCTGCTTGTATCCATGAGTTGGGGCTGTCCTGATGGCAGCTAATAAGAAGATTGCCAAACAAGTGAACTAGAAGGAAAAGAGGAAATAAAGGAAATCTTTGGACAGACCTGGGCATCTAAACACTCCCACTCTTAATTTAAAGATGAGCAGCAATAAAGTCTGGCTGAGTGGTGCTTCACAGTGCTCGGGCAAAATCTTGGGAATTCGTGCTATTGTTGAACCTCTGTAATCTAACCATGTGGATTAGCCATGTGTGAGGATTCAGTGGCAGATCCCGTGAGGGTGGAGCAGAGATAAATTAGCAAGTGGGTGACTCTATGAAAGGGAGCTTGGATCACATGCTAGCTTGCTGGTGACAGTCACTTATAAGGAGTTCATCCTCTGGGAACAAAAATACAATAAACTGCCTCAGGGAAAAGTCCAGATTCAGAAGCCTGTCTCAGATGCTAGAAGGACGTGTAGACCGGGAGTGTTGAGACGATGTGTAGCCTCATTCTCTTTTCTCCCTACAGGAGAGGCAGCCCACTTCTCATTGGCGTGAGGAGTAAATACAAGCTCTCCACAGAACAGATCCCAATCTTATATCGCACATGTAAGTTTCTTTCTTTTTTTTTTTAAATCAAGTGAAACAAACCTTATAGATCATTCAATCATTTATACACACTTTGTTTTATAACATCAATAACAACAATTGATCAATATAACTTATTGTTGTTATGTGCTGTTCAGTCGCTTGCGACTCTATGTACAACAGCCCTAAACTCTGCTCTGTCCTATGCCAATTGCACCGTCTTTGACACACCCATCCAGATTACCCAAACCACTGAATCAATCCACCTCATAGGGGGCCTTCCCCTTCTGCGCTGTCCCTCCACCCTACCAAGCATGATGTCCCTCTCCAAGAAGTGGTCTCTCCTTGCAATATGTCCAAAGTATGTCAGAGCCTTAGAATCCTTGCCTCCAAGGAGCAGCCCGGTTTGACCCTTTCCAGGATGGATCTGTTTTCCTAGCAGTCCATGGCATCCTATTTCCATACCTATTCAACCTGTATGCAGAACAGATTATCCAGGAGGCTGGGCTCTATGAGGAGAAGCGTGGCGTTAGGATTGGTAGATCTATCAACAATCTGTGTTATGCAGATGACACAACCCTGCTCGCTGAAACTGAGGAGGACCTCATGCACCTGCTGCAGAGGGTCAAGGGCTGCAGCCTCCAATATGGATTGAGGCTCAATGTCAAGAAGACAGATTCTCACCACTGGGCCAATCGGCAGCATCAGGATGGATGGTGAAGAGATTGGGATTGTACACAGCTTTAGTTTGCTTGGCTCCACAGTCAACACTCTTGGCACCAGTAGCCAGGAAATTAAAAGGCGCATTGCCGTGGGAAAGTCTGCTGTTAGGGACCTCTCCAAATTACTGAAGAGCAATGGTGTCTCTTTGGAGACTAAGGTGGGTCTGATACAGGCCATGGTCTTTGCTATCACTTGTTATGCATCAGAGAGTTGGACAATGACTAAGGAGGATAAAAGGAGAATTGATGCCTTTGAGCTGTGGTGCTGGAGAAGAGTATTGCGGGTACCATGGACTGCTATAACTAATTACAGTGTCTGATTAACACCTTACTGTTTATTGCCTTTCTCTTCACTCAACTTACATACTTGTTGTTTTTTACTCCCTTCTCCCTCCCTTCTCATTCCTGGTAACCATCCAAGTATGATTCTATGTGTAAGCCTTTTTACTATAGTGGCCTTATAGCTTACTGGTCCTTTTATGACTGGCTTACATCATTCAACAGAATTTTTGTTCTAGATACACTCACTTTGTGCAGAGTCAAATTCTTTATCATTCTTTAGTGTTGTGTAATAGTTCATCATGTGAATGTATTGTAGTTTCTTTAGTCATTCAGGACATGGAAGTTTCTGAAGTGAAAGTCTGGGACACAACTGCTCAGCAGTGTTTGAGACTTACTGGCAGCCCTAGTGCATGTCCACTCCCCTGGAGGCAAAGAAGTGGGAGCAACTGGGACATATTGCCAGATCTCAAAGGTTTTTGTAAAAAGGAGACTTGCCTTCATTTTAAGAGCTTGCTATAGATATTTTCAAATACACATAAAATTAGAGAGAATGACATCTGGTTCTGTTATATAATGGCACCCATGCCCTGTTTGGGAGTTTATTTGGTGGGTCTTTGTTTATATTTCACACTGTAGCAGTTTAAATTCTTTCAGTGGTACTGTGCTATTTGGGGATCTTTCGCAGGATTTGGCTGACGCTGCCAAAGCTAAAAATTGCGATTCCCTCCCACACATATTCAAAGGGGAATGGGCTCCTTGCTGCATGCTATTCAAACAGAAGAGTTAAAAGAGATTTGACATCCATTTCTGTATTTACTAGGCAACATTGAGAATGTGAAGAATATCTGTAAAACAAGAATGAAGAGGCTCGATAGCTCCACCTGCCTCCATGCTGTGGGCGATAAAGCCGTCGAATTCTTCTTTGCATCTGATGCAAGGTAACTAAGTCTTATTTTCCTGTTTCTTCATAGTTCATCAAGGGGCAGAGTAAATGTGGATTCCAGCTCTCTGCCCTCCTCCCAGGGTCCCCAGCCAGTAGCACTTCTGTGACAATTTTTAGCAGATTGGAGCAAAAGGGAGATTACCATCTGAATGTCAAAGGCCAGATTCACTCCTAGACAAGTGTTTTGCCCAACGTTTTACAGTCAGGACATTTCATGAGTAGTACCTTATTTGAAGAAATAAGGATATAAGAAAAATGAAAGATAAATGCTTTCTAAAAAAATATGTCAATAATATATGTTGGAGTTAAGGATGAAAATTAAACTTGGCAGGCTTTTTATTCCTTACCTATAAGTTCCAAACCAACTTCAGAACTTGAGAGTCTAAAACATTAGTTTTATCAAAGGTAAGTCTAGATTGAAGGACATAACTTGGATTCAGCTGACCAAGCTGGTTTCTTATGCCTTTCTTCCATGCTCTAGAACAATCCACTTATCAGAAAGCTGACTCACTTATTCAGAATCACTATCCTCCACTATTAGGTTCACAATGGTGATTGAGAAGATGATCCAAAAAATAGAGGGTGCCAAGTATTCCTTGAAACTCTCTGGAAACATTGATCCAGATGCATTTCCATCCAGTGAGAAGAGGCGAGGATACCCGCTGCCTCCTTACCACTTACCACTGTTTTCTGGAAGTGCTACTTATTGCCATCGAATAAAACCATGCCATCAAATTCTATTAGATGCTATGGCATGCCAAAACTCTCTAGGTTCAGGGAAAAACCCTCTCTTTGTTAAAAAAAACCCCAGGGATTAGTATGTATTAAGAGGTTTGTAAACACCCAGCTCTAACTTTTTTCTTTGAGGTAATTAATCAGAAGGATTTAAGGGACGTGGGAAGAGAACTTATTTCTCACTTGTAACTGATCGTTTTGATAGTGGCTCTGACCCTGCTTAATGCCATCCATCTGGATGGATGCCAGGCTTTGGGAGACAGTGACTGCTGTCTTAAGGCTGTCAAGTCCCCATGTATGACACCTGTGCTTTCCTTGTTCCAGTGCTATCATAGAACATACCAACCGGGTCATCTTCCTTGAAGATGACGACATTGCAGCAGTGGCTGATGGGAAGCTCTCCATTCACCGGGTAAAGCGTTCAGCTACTGATGATCCATCTCGAGCCATCCAGACCTTACAGATGGAATTGCAGCAGATCATGAAAGGCAGGTATCCCCCGAGGTCCTATGTGCAGAAGTCCCAGAGGACAGAGGTTTCTATGGTCGCTCTTAGAGACTGCCCTGCCCTGGGTGGGGGCCTCCACCATGGCCACCAGGGTGAGGTCCAGGTGATCTGTGCTCACGCAGCTGAGGGCACATGGGAAACCTGACCAAGTACATTCAGGATGAGCACCTGTCTCTAGGAGCCCCCTGCCTTATACGGAGGCTCCAGAAGCTCTCTGCCTTGACACCAATACCGAGGTGTAAACCTGGAACACATTCCTATGCCCTCCATGTTCCTAAACTTCAGAGTACCTCAGTGGTGTAAATGGTTTGTGCTTCACTATAAAGATAGCTTGGCATTTCAACCTACCCTTCCGCATTGCAGAAGAAAGGCTAAGTACTTTGGGGTAGAGGTGACAGCCAAGAAAACCTTGTGTTGAAACACATGGGTTGCCTTGTGTCAGAACTGACTCAATAACAACAGGTTCTTAACTTGCTTTTTTAACTTATTATCTAAATGACCTCACCCCACTGCCACTAAGTCTGTTCTGACTCATAGAACCCTCCATCCGGTTTCCCAGGCAGTAAATCTTTATGGGAAGACACATCTAGTAGCCTAATATGTTAATGCACTACACCATCAGAGTCCCTTTTGGAGACCTTAGGAATAGTAATCAGGAAAGGAGTGCATCAGGGATGCATACTGTCTGTGGCACTAAAGACAATATCACAAGTTTCAGATGGTCCTTGGCAGAAAGCAAAGATATCTGTCTGTATTTCATTGACTATGCAAAGGCATTTGATTGCATGGATCACAACAAATTGAAAATGGGAATCCCAGAATACTTGATTATGTTCCTGTGAAACCTATACTTGGACCAGGAAGTAGTCCTGAGAACATAGCAGGGAAACACTGCATGTTTCAAAATCAGGAAGGGAGTGTGTCAGAGATGTGTTCTGTCTCCGTACCTTTTAAATCTATATGTAGACCAAGATCATTCAGGTTGAGCCTTATAAGGAGGAATGTGGCATCAGGATTGGGAGAAGTTTCAACAACCTATGTTATGCAGATGACACAACCTTGCTTGCTGAAACCGAGGCGGACCTAAAGCACTTGCTACAGAAGGTCAAGGACTGTATTCTTCAATATGGACTGAAGTTCAACATGGCAAGAATTCTCACCAGTAGGCCAATTGGCAGCAGCATGATAGATGGAGAAGAGATTGAGGTTAACAGTTACAGCTTGCTCGGCTCCACAATCAAGTCTTGGCTCCAGCAGTCAGGAAATCAAAAGACAAATTGCATTAAGTAAATCTGCTGTCAGGGACCCTTTCAGAGTACTGAAAAGCAACAATGTTCACCTGATCCAGTTCATAGTCTTCTCAATTGCTTGCTATGCATCAGAGAGCTGGACAATGACTAAAGATGACAGAAGAATTGATGCCTTTGAGTTGTGGTGCTGGAGAAGAGTCTTGAACATACCATGGACCACCAAGAAAACAAATAGGTCTGTCTTGAAGAGGGTGAAACCATGTTTCTCATTAGATGCTTGTATTTTATAGCTCTGTCTCATGTACTTTGGGCACGGAGCCAGGAGGGACAGTCTCTGGAGTAGGACATCATGCTCAGAAGGGAGAAGGGACAGTGCAGAGAGGACAACCCTGGATAAGATGGATTGATTCAGTAACTTGGGCAATTGGGGGTAAGTGTGTTGGAGTAGACTGCGTCAGGACAGGGTTGGCATCAGAGCTGTTATACATAGGGTCGCTGTGAGTTACAGGTGACTCAACAGCACAAAACAAGTGGAACAGATCATTCAGGAAGCTGGAGGAATGTGGCATCAGGATTGGAGGAAGACAGGTGCTTTGATAGCAGACAACAACAACAACAACAATCATGCCATTGAGTTCTGGTGGCTTTGTAGTCAGGAATTACACTGCCAGTACAAAGGTACACAGTTATAATCCACCAGTTACTTTGAAGGAGGAAGATGAGCAATCTCTTCCCGTGGATTTATTGCCTTTGAAAACCTGCTGGGGGTTCAGCTATGGGTCGGTTTCGACTCCACGATACAAGCATGTTATGAGCGTCATGCAGAGTGAAACTGGAGACTGCTATTTAGAATTTGCAGTGGGCTTACATGGATCACTATTGTGATTATACAATGACTCATCTTAATTAAAATTTACACCAACATCCCTTACCCTGGAGTTAATTCTGACTCATGAATAATCCATGTGTTTCATTTATGCAGTGAAAGCATAACTCAAAGCTAATCTCTCTCTGATCTGTTTCTTTGACCAGGTAACTTCAGTGCATTTATGCAGAAAGAAATCTTTGAGCAGCCCGAATCTGTTTTCAATACCATGAGAGGCCGAGTGAATTTTGAGACCAACACAGGTAATTCCAGCAGGTCCTGGAAGGCCCTGTCTGTGCCCTGTAGGGATGAATTTCAGCATGTAGACAGTTGACATTGATGCATTGCTGTGCACTCTGCAGTGCTTCTGGGTGGTCTGAAGGACCACTTGAAGGAAATTCGACGGTGCCGGCGGCTCATTGTGATTGGCTGTGGAACCAGTTATCATGCTGGAGTAGCTGTAAGTACAAAATGCTGGACCTGATTGGAGACTTAAGCCTTGCTCCCATCCCTAACCCCCAGCATAGCACCATTTGTCTTGTGGTATGACCTGACTGAAGTTCCCTCACCACCTGGACATTTTACAAAACTGTTCTAAACCCAACTGCCCTTCCCCCAGCCCCCACCCCAAGAGTCTGTAACTGACTAGTCCTCATTCTTGCTGGCTTCAGACACGGCAGGTCTTGGAAGAACTGACCGAGCTCCCAGTGATGGTTGAACTTGCCAGTGACTTTCTGGACAGGAACACACCTGTGTTCAGAGATGATGTTTGCTTCTTCATAAGCCAGTCAGGTAAGGGATATGGCAGCCTGGCCGGCTTTCTCTTAGTTCAACTCAGGCACTCTCCTCTCCATAATACCGCATATACTCCCTCCTCTACCTTCCAAAGTCCTCTGTACACATACGATGTACCACACACTTCCTCAAACTCTAATGACTTTTCCCCTCTGCAGCTTCTCGTTTCTTCTTCTAAGTTCAGAATTTCAAGATTTACTCACCAAGTTGCTCACAAATGTTTTCTGGATTTCATTTAATGAAGAAAAAAAATCCTTTTAAACTCTTCTAGATTGCAGGTCAAAGCATAGGCTGCTGCTCTGCAGTGGACACTGTGGTTCAGTCCATCACCTCAGTCACCGAGTGGGAGCTGTGTGCAGTGTCCACACCACTCAGTAGGAGGAAGTGTGGAGGACACGCTTCTAAGCTAAGTCAGTCCACTGGGTTTGCATATGTTCCAGCTGGACAGGGCAGTGAACCAGGGGGTATTCCATGCCGTATGATTGGAGTCTGCAAGAGTTTTAGGTGGATTTTTAAAAGTGTTTTAATTGTGGAAAATTCCAAACTCTCTTAACAGTAGATAAATTTATAATGAGCCTCCTCATAATTATTAGCTTCAGCAATTATAACTCACAGCCAATTTTGTGTCATCCACACTCCTATGAACTACTCCCTTGCACTGGGTAATTTTGAAGGCAATATTAGACATTGTGCTATTTCATCCCAAATTATTCAATGTTTCTATAAATGACTTTTTTTAAAAAAGAAAACCCTCGTGGCTGCTCCATGTGTGTCAAAGTAGAATTGTGTACCATAGGGTTTGCAATGACGGATATTTTAGAAATAGATCTGTAGTCTTTTATTACTAGGCACTTCTAGGTGAACTCGAACTAGCCTTTCGATTAACAGTCAAGTGTGCTTTTGCACTACACAGAGACTCCTAAAGGATTCTTAAAAGAAACTAACTACAATATCACTATCACACCTAAAAAATGAACACTAGTGTTCTAAAACTTACTGGGATTCTTAATACTGCTTTCATTTTAAATTTTTAACACCATCACCATTTCAATGACAAAGATACACTGTTGACATGCCCATCATCTGCCCAGGCACTTTATATCAGCTTCAGCTCTTGTAATTTTCATTTGGAATTATAGCCCATCAGAGCCTACAAATATTTCACAAATTGGTGCAAACCATAAAAAAGGAAACTGAGATGGACTTAATGCCATATTCTTTAGTGTATATATGGAAATGGCTTAAAGTTTTGTTTGTTCAGCCCTTCACATGAGATAAAAATATGATCTATCTGTATTAAAAAAAAAGACGGAGAGGGGCTTGTGAAGACAGAGCTGCCCTCCTCCCACATTCTTGACAACTCCATCACTGCACTGAGGAAAGGTCACATGACACTTGTGCGAAGAGACAAAAGATGGAATTGAGCCTTGACGTGGCACACCATCCTTCCAGCCTGCCGCGGTGAAAGATCAGAGCAGGCGCAGCCAGAAACACAGCTCCATGGGCATAACAGCCACCAGTGAGTTATGTGCTGATGTTGTTGTTGATTGCCTTCAAGCCAAACATAACTCATAGTAACCCTATGAACAAAAGGCCTAATGCCCCTCTATTGACATAGAGTTCATAAGTTCATAGAGTTTCCAAAGGCATGTGATTTAAAAAGTGGATGCCACTCCTGTTTCCAATGGTTTTTATTTTCTGGTCTTCCTTGTGTTTCGTTTGCACACTGGTTTAGTTTATGTTCTTTAGAACTTGCAAACAGAGAATTCATGCCCATTTATGTTTGAACTTATTTAAGTTGCTATGAAATCCCTAATTCTTTCATACCTGCATGGTACAAATGGTTACCTTCCTAGACTGTCAACCAAAAGGCTGCAGATTAGAGGCCACCAGAAGCATCTGGTGATCTACTTGCAACAAGTCAGTCATTGAAAACCCTATAGAACCTGGCTCTGATCTGACACACATGGTCAAGTGAGCCAAAGTCGACCAGACATCTGATTTATGATAAAAGTGACCTGATTCATATTGGGAAGTGCTTTTTTAAATACTGAGAAACACCATTTTGGAGACATTCTTCCTTTTTAAATGCTGGATCTTGGCACATTCTAAGTGAAGCAGCTTTGAGTTCTGGAGAGGGCATTGGGAGGCAGGCTCGCTTGAGTTCACACTCAGTCTGTCCCCCTCTGCTGCATGGTCCTAAGTGAGGCATTGAATTTTCTCTGAACCCTTCATCCCCAAGGGAAAGTGGGGACAGTGGTCCCCCACAGAATGGTCATGAGAACAAAATGAACAAGATGAGAAAGTGCTTGGCACATGAAGGATAATTTCATGAAGGTTTCCACGTAGGAATCAACTGAACCACTGTTGATCCTGCAATTTCCTTTCTGAGCACACACGGGCTGTGTCTAGGTAAACAGAGCTCCTTGTCAGAGCCAGGAAGAAGTGAGCAGAGGCAGAGGTTTGGCTGGCAAAGTGACTTCATGTGTAAACACATCAATGAAAGGGACTTTTCGTGGCAGGTGAGACTGCAGACACCCTTCTGGCGCTGCGCTACTGCAAGGACCGCCGGGCCCTGACCGTGGGTGTCACCAACACCGTGGGCAGCTCCATCTCCCGCGAGACTGACTGTGGCATCCACATCAATGCAGGCCCAGAGATTGGCGTCGCCAGCACCAAGGTAGGAGGTGCTTTCGGAAAGAGGAGACAAGAAAATTCCTTTTGCCTGCCCTCATCTCCTGAGGTCATGGTGATACCCACTCTTCTCATATCACCCCTTATGTCTACAGGCTTATACCAGCCAGTTCGTTTCTCTGGTCATGTTTGGTCTGATGATGTGTGAAGACCGTATCTCATTACAAAATCGACGACAAGAGATTATCCGTGGCCTGAGATCTTTACCTGGTATGTCCAAGAGCTGAGCCTGCCTTATTTTCAAATCTAGTGGTCTGTTCTTGGCCTCTTTCTCCCTTGACTCTTGTATATAACCTGCAACCAACTTGATTAATGGTACCCTCCTCCTTCACTTCCTAAAAATCTAGTTGTCATGAAATTGACTTAAACTCATGGTTCCATGGTGCCAGAGTAGAAATGGGTTTTCGATACTTGATTTTGTGTTAGGATTTGGGCTTTTTTAAGTACTTCACAAAGCTCTTCCATTGTGCCTTTGGGTGAATGCAAAAGTCTTGGTTAGCAGCTGAGCATGTTGATGTTTTATGCCACTTACAGATACAGATACTTCAAACCTGCTAACCTCTCAATCCCTTCAGCAGCTGCCTGATCAATGGGTCAGGATTGGCCTCCACACTCCTCCTCACCAGGCCTCCCCCATCATGCTTCCCTTTGCCTCTTTTGCTGCTGCCACAGACCTTCAATTTCTCAATAGCTCCAAGCCCTTTCCTACCACAGGGCCTTTGCTTTGTCTCTTTCCTTTGTTGAAACCCTCCCCCTCTAGTCCTTGCATTCACTGACTTCCTTATCATCCAGGCCCCAACCCCTGCCCTGACCCCAGCCTGCCTAACTAACAGAAGCCCCAAACCCAGACTGTCTGAAACGTTAGCTTGTTTATTTTCTTTAGAGCACAGTCCTTTATCTGAGTTATCTATTCTCTCATTTCCTGTCTTGTCTCTCACATCTATCATTCACTCTATGAGCTCATAATCCCATCTGTCAGTCACAGTGGGCCTGGCTCCTGGCGTCAAGCTCAAGTATAAAAACCAAGAAGCAAATGGTCTGGGGGCAGTTCCTCCCTCAGAGGCTGTCCACCAAATTGTGAACTCTTTAGGGGCAGAGACTATGTCCTTGTTCATTCATTCACTCACTCACCACACACATTATTAAAGACCAGTGCCTGTGGGCCAGCCATACTGGGACTCCCAAGACAAAAGCCACTTGTACTCTAGGGAGAGAAGTAGCTTGGATTTTCTGTGTGCAGCCCTGATGATGTACCGTAAAACAGCAAGACAGAGATGGACTGTGAATTAAGTTCCTTGAAAGCAGACACAAACCCAGAGAAGACAGTGGCAAGTCTACAGAGAGTCTAAAAATGCTCACTACAAGGCCAGGGGTCTGGAGCTGGCCTACAATATATGATAGGAATGTAAGTAAGAGAAAAACATTTTTAAGCCAAGTAATGTTGCTAGATGCCGAAAAGCGTATTTTTTTTACTCATGGACCCAGTGTGGCAGAGTAGAGCTGCCCCATAGGCTATATAACCTATGGGCGTAGACCACCAGGCCTTCTCTCCTGCAGAATTATTGGTGGTCTTGAATTCCAATGGGTTTCGTTCTCTCTCAGAGCCACTGGATGAATTCTAATCTTCAATCTTTTATTTCCTAGCTGGGTGCTTATCTGGTGTACCATGTCAACAGGGCTCTTTAGCCAGGTAATGGGAAAAATTACTTTGTTCTACTGTTAAAGTAAATCAACAGATCAACATTCTTTTTAAAGATCTTAAGATGTTGTCAGATCCTGGATCTACAAGAGCCTTTTAGTCAAAACTATTTTCATACTAAAATGTGACTAGGCGTTCTGGTGGCACCGTCTGTAGGGAGTTGCACTGCTGGCCCATGGGTCATGTCTCTTGTGGTTTGTATCCACCATTGAAAAACGGTCCGTCTCTGATGCGGTTTACAGTTTAGAGTTTGCTCTGACTTGACAATAATGAGGAGGTTTATTTCTTAGATGTGAATAACTGTTTTTGTATAATGAACACTGTGTTGGAACAGATGAAGGATTAAATCTTTACTCTTTTACCTTCATTTATACCACCACGTCTTTCTTCTCATCCCTGCGCTATAATAAAAAGCTTTGCCCTGCACGTTAATGCTCCATGTGCTACTCTCCCAAGAAACCCCAAGATTGCTTTATACTGTGCCACCTTGGTACCTGGGCACCGGCCCCTCTATTCTCTTTCGCCTGGCAGTTTCTCTGCTTGTGTGAGAAGGGTGAACTAGGGCTTTGATTACACAGTAAACAGCTCAGGGTGATTTTAACAAATGTGATTTCTTCTTTTTTTTGCTTTCATTCAGTTATTCATGTATTTTAAAAAATAACTTAATTACAATTGGTCAATGCTATTTTATGACAACATCTCATCAAATCTTCTCTGTTCCTTGCCTTTCCTTTCACCTGACTCCTGCGTCTGCTAACCTCTGCTCCTTCTCCCTCCCCTCCTATCCCTGTCAACCCTCCACAGTAAATCTTTCTTTAGCTTTTTTTTTTCAATCAATCATGGATACTTTGTTCCATCCATTGTTAACTGCAATACATACAATGTCTGATCATTCATCTCACATTGACCTCTTTAAAAAGAGATTTTTTAAAGACTTGATTTGAAAAACATCATTGTTTAGATTTGCATTGAATTCAGTGAACCAGTATTTTCAAAATTGCAGATAATAATGCATACTGGTACAAAATCATGCACATGTTGAAAAACAAACTGTTTGAAGTGCCCAATAGACCACCAGTAAACTTTAATGTAATAAAATAGGAAAAATTCAGATATTATGATTTTAGATGATTTAGATATTAGATGATTTTAGATTCCATGCTTGCAATGACTCTTGAAGAAATTATTCACTTCTCAAGTTTGATATAGTACTAATGTAGAACATTCAGTTACTTCGCATGTATAAATCTAAGTAAGATCAGGTTTTCTTCCTGTTCTTCAACCAAAATCATATCTCACAACAGCTTGAATGCAGAAGCACATAGGAAATCCAACATCTTCTAAATCAGACATTTAAAAGACTTATAGAAAATTATACCATTCTTATTTTTAATAAAACAGGAAGAGTTCAGACCTGCTGTATATAGGCTGGCTATACATCGCAGGCAACTCAATGGCACGTAAAAACAATAACAGGTTTGGAAGCAGGAGTGGAATCCACTTCATAAATAACATGCTTCCAGAAACTGAACTTTGCTAAATGTCAATAGTTGTAGAGGGACTTCGGGCCTTTTGTTTATAGGGTCACTTACATAATTCATTGTTATTAAAATATTAATTAACAAATATGTATTTTTAAATGTCTTTGTATTTTCTATTTATAGATATTTGAAGGTATAACCTACACAAACAGAGGCTTCTAGGGGATGCTCAATTATTTTTAAGTGTGTAAAAAGAAATCAGTTTTTGAGATCCCGTGGTACACGTCCCATTGTCTTTGTCTTGAGATGCAGCACAGGGCAATGATGAGGACAAGTAATCTGGAGTGTCATCTGTCAGTGGTGATTTAGCCTATCTGAGCCTCATCCCTGTAAAGTGGAGCTGGAAATAATAACTTCCCTGCCTACCTTGAAGGTGCTTAAGAAAGTAGCAATACAACTATCATTCACTACCTCAACAAAAGCTTACACAGTAGCCCAAGTTATTTTCTCATAATTTAAGTTGAAAACTCTTAAACTAATGCAAGGAAACAAAATTTATTAGCTGAAATGAGTACTAAGATCTTATTGTGTGCTCTGCAAGTTTTCCTTGTGAATTGTTTAAGAATGGTCTCTTCCCCTCCCCTGTGTGCCTATTTTAGAGCTGATCAAGGAAGTCCTGTTGCTGGATGAGAGGATTCACGACCTGGCCCTGGAACTCTACACACAGAGGTCACTCCTGGTCATGGGACGTGGCTATAACTATGCCACATGCCTGGAGGGGGCACTGGTAAGTGCTTTTCTGCCCAGCACCCCACATCCACTGCCTCTACAGCCTTCAGCCATCCAGGAAGCAGGCCAAGACACGGGGGAAGGGAAGGCCCAGACTCCTTGGCAACAAGGTGAGCTTGCACTGAGTGCCAGCTCTTGCCACGGGGTTCTATCTCTAGGATTCTGAGGTAGGTGAGACAGGTTAGCCTACAGGAACTCCCAATCTTACAGGAATAAGAGGGCAGGTCACCCCTGCCTGAGCCTCTCAAGGTGTCAGTCCTGTGCCAGACTCCATCTGGGTTAGCTCATTCATAACCCATGACCATCTCATTAGAAAGGTGAACCAATGTGCTCAAAATTATGTGATTAAGTGGTTGATTTGAACTCAGGGAGATTTGAACTCAGGTCCTTAACTCCCAGAAATCTTTGTGGAAGATTTTGGCAGACCAGAATTGTGGGGTGAATCTGTGCAGAGTTTCCTTGTTACCTCTCAGACTAGTGAAAAGAGCCTGAGTTCTGTTGGAACGAGCTTTGGTGGCCCTGAATTTTTAAAATTGGCAACTGTTTTCTCCCTTTATAGCAATAAAAGGAGCCCAAGTGGTATAGTGTTTAAATCTAGCTGCTAACTGAAGGGCCAGAGGTTCAAAACCACCAGCCTCTCTGCAGAAGGAAGCTGTCGCAGTCTGTTGTTGTTGTTGAGTACCTTCCTGTTGGAACTGACTCATAGCTCATCCTCCAGTGGGTTTTCAGTCATTAAATCACATAGGAGGAGATTGTTCATCCTTTTCCCAAACTGTGACCTTTGGGATTGCATCCCTAGGCCAGAGTCTGCTTCTATAAATGCTACAGCCTTGGAAGCCTGACGGGGCAGTTCTCTGCTATAGGGCCACTCTGACTGCAATCCCAGAGGCACGCGGATTGAATCCACCAGATGCTCTGTTGGAGAAGGAGGGACAATCTCCTGTGCCAGTCAGATCCAATTTGATGGTACACAAAAAAGAAATAATAAAATAAATAAAAAAAAATACATTGAAGATTCACATCAGCATAAGAGAAGGCTGACGGAGCAGTGACAGGTGTTAGGACCAGCAGGCCCCAAGGGGCCAGGCGTGCATCAGGAGTCTGAGGTCTACTTTTCACATTCTTGTACATTCTTAGGTGATTGTTGTTTATGGTTCAGAAGAAGGGATGAATTCTTCATCCCTGTTAAGAATTATAAGATCAAAAAGTGGTTTGGGCTTGGGCTATGTACAGAAGTAGAATCTTTGATGTAGTAGAATAACTAAGCCTGTGCTTAGTTGATCAGCTTGTTCAGCCAAGGTAAAAAGGAGGCTATGTTACAGATGAGGCAGCTTTTGGTACAAAGATAAGGCACCATCGTCCCTGTGGAAAGAAGTAACTACTCCTTCCCCACAACCCCCATCCCAAGAGAGTACTGATTGGCTTCTGTTCACCAAGACATACTCAGAGTGTTACACGTAGCCAGGGCACAACCCTGAGATACCTGAGCCTCCCTGAACTTCACCTTTATACCCATAAAATAGACCCTCTGATCCCCACCAGAGGAAGCAAGGGGCTGGTGTCCTGTGCACATTCCTTCCTCCGACAACCCTGCTGGCTTGAGGGCTGAGCTTTCCAAAGAAAGATGCAAATTCATCCGTACCCCCAGCTTCATCTTTGAGGAAAGAAAGGAGCATTTTCCAAGCTGCTGGCATGAATTAATGGCCCCTCTGTAGCTCTTTTGGCCTGTACCACCCCCTTGCCTGAAGCATCCAGACAGAAGCCACACTCTATTTCATTTTCCTGATGCACAACATCAATGGATCCTTCTAGGGTCCATTGGGAAATATTCTCTTCAGTGTGTTCTCCAATTAAATGATAAGCAACGGCCTATAAATAAAGCTATCTGAAGAAATCTGAATAGCAGCCTAATGTGTATGATAATTAGCTGGAACATTCTTTTGGAAATTAACTTCTTAAACTAGATGAATGATCATCCAGATAAAATGAAATTCCATTATTATCATTTATAGCCATGGAGAGGCATTATGCAGAGCAAGGAAGGCAGGGAGGGAAGAGAGCAAACTAAATCAACATTACCTTGTCCCTCCTACCTCAGGTGGCCCTGATTCCTCCAACAGGGAATGAATGGGCCTGGGTACAGAGACTGTGTGCTACCCTTTGTGGGGCAGTAGCCACCCTCTCCCTGACCCCAGACAACCCTTACCTTCCTCTTAAAGCCCTGCTGGCCAGAGTTCTGAGTGTCCCAGTGAGAGATACTGACTCAGCTGTGCCTCCAGCTTCGCCTTTGGGGAAATAAAAAAGGGTCTCTCAAGCTGCCTTGCAGAATGTTCCCCTACTCTGGCAGCTAGACTCCAGTTCTCCACTCTACCCAATGTGACACTGACCCCACCTCTTGTCCCCAGAAAATTAAAGAGATCACCTACATGCACTCTGAAGGTATCCTGGCTGGGGAGCTGAAGCATGGGCCCCTGGCGCTGATTGACAAGCAGATGCCCGTCATCATGGTCATCATGAAGGACCCGTGCTTTGCCAAGTGCCAGAATGCCCTGCAGCAAGTTACTGCCCGCCAGGTAAGTGCTCTCAAGGCTGAGGCCTTCTGTGTTCCCTGCATACACACCTTTCCCAGTGTTGCCAGCACCCCCAGGCCCTCCCCAGAGGGCCAGACACACATTTGGAAGAGGACTGTCCAAGCTGTGGCCACTCCCATCACAAATCCTCACTGAGGTCCAGTCTCCCTTAAGCTGTCTTAAGTGAGCAGATCAGAGTTCTGCTGGTGGAGGGTCCTGAAAGCAGAGTTTCCCCGAAGGCTACCTGAGATAGGAGGTTGGGCCCCCACAGAGCCGCCCTAGGAAGTCTCATGACATTATCAGTAACCCAGATGCTGTAGAGCAGACTCTGACTCATTGGTGAGCCCATGTGTGTCGGAGTAGAACTGTGCCCTACAGGGATTTTCCAGAAGTAGACATAACGCTGGCAAAGATGGTGACAAGGATAGGACACGGTTCCATCTGTTCATAGGGTCATTATGAGTTATAGTCAACAGCACCTAACAACAGGAACAGGAGGGATGGAAGAAAGGGGAGTCATTGCACAAAGGTTCTATTAATGGTGGTTCACTAAGTGGTAATGGAGAATGATGCAATTATACAGCATGATGAATGTAATCCATGCTGCTGAATTGTATATGTAAATTTTTGAGTGGGCACTTTTTTGTTATGTATATATATTTTTGTTCTCTTGTTGGTAAATGCCTTTGAGTTGGCTCTGATTCATAGTGACCCTGTGCACAACATGCACAACAGAATGAAACACTGTCTTATCTGCACCCCTTCCAATCCCTGATGTGCGTAACCCCACAGTGCAGTCACTGTGTCAATGCATCCCATTAAGAGTTTTCACCTTTTTTCATTGACCCTCCACTTTATCGGTATACATGAACTCGGGTAGACTACTGGTAAAGAGCTTCACTGCCAACCCAAAAGCATGTGGTTTGAATCCACCAGTTGCTCTGTGGGAGAAAGATGGGCCATCTCCTCCCATGTGTTTTATCCACTGGAAAAGTGCTGGAGGGCCAGCTATGAGTTGGTTCTGTCTTGATGGTACATACAGTACAACAGATACATAATTTAAAAATCTGCCTCTAAGGAGTAGCCTGGTTTAACCCTCTCTAGGATGAATCTGTTTTCTTGGCAGTCCATGGTACATTCAATACTCCAGCACCACAGCTCAAAGGCATCAATTCTCCTATCCTCCCTAGTCATTTTCCAAACAAGTGATTGCAAAGACCATGGCCTGTATCAGGCGGACCTTAGTCTCCAGAGAGACACCGTTGCTCTTATATAAAATTATTACATATATAATTTTAAATTTTAAAAAACACACAGTTATGTCACCTTATTTAAAACCTTCCGATAGCTTCCCCTCAAATTCTACCCCTACAACAAGTCATTGCCATTGGGTTGGACCTTATTATACCTGACCTAGTTGGAACTGACTCATACCTGACCCTTCCAGTGGGTTTTCAGAATTGCATGGGAGAAGATTGTCCATCTTTCTTCTGAGGAGCAGCTGGCAGATTGAACCCCTTGCTTTTGGGTTAGGAATGCTACTCCTTATCCACTAGGCCACCAGAGTTCTACAGTGACCCACAAAAAAGGTTTCTATTAAAGTCATTCTGACTCATGGGATCTCATAGATGTAGAGTAGAACATGCATTATCTTTTCCTTCTAGGTTCTTCACCAAGCTATAGCCATTCAGCCTTCTTTCTATTCTCCCATACAGTGAACTTATTCCTTCCTCAGAGCCTTTGCTGGTTGTTTCCTCTGCCCAGAATGTCCTTCCTACAGAACTTCAATGAGTTGGCAACTCTTCATTTGATTCTCAGTTCAATTATTTCTCCTTTAAAGAGGGCTCCCCAAACTTCACTGTTCTCTCCTGATCATTTTCCTGTTTTAATACCTTCATAGCATGTATCTGAGATTATTTTTACTTATTGACTGCTCACTTATTTTCACTTTCTTCCAGTAGAATAGAGTGAGGAATGAGGCTACACAGACCTTTGCCAGACCATAGTCTCTTGATAATCAGGCAGTGAATGAAAGCAAGAGAGGGATCACGTTACCAGAGGAGGAAGATGTTTACCAGAAAACAGCAAATGGACATGCTGGCACTTTGTTCTATAACTTGAATCATATACATCTCCTTACCCATAATCTCAAATAAACAGATTATTACTTATAATAATAGTGATTTCTGACAAATTGTTGTGTGTAATCACTGCTTTTATCTGAGATGAGCTACATTTTGTGATATATTTCTGTGTTTTAGGGTCGCCCAATTATCCTGTGTTCCAAGGATGACACTGAAAGTTCCAAGTTTGCATATAAAACCATTGAGGTGCCTCACACTGTGGACTGCCTCCAGGGCATCCTGAGCGTGATTCCACTGCAGCTCCTCTCCTTCCACCTGGCTGTTCTACGAGGATATGATGTAGGTCTCAAAAGTGCACGGAAACAAACAGAAACTAATAAAAGACCCAAACTACAAGTGGATTATTTTCTTGAAAAAAGAAAAGACATTTATTTGACCATAATTCCAGAGGCGAGAAGTCAAATGCAGCCCTTGGTACTAGAGAAAGGTCCTTTGTCTACTTGAACTTCTATAGAGCTGCAAAATCTTGCAATTCCTGGGCTTAGAAATGCACCTGCATATGTATCTGTCTTCAAGTGACACCTTCCCCCAGTATATGTCTTTATATCTGCAATAACTCAGAAGTGATTAAGTTTAGGACCACCTTTCCTAAGCAAAATCTAATTAACATAACAAAGAAAAACCATGTTTTTATGTAGGATAATATCCAGAGGTATAGGGCAGAACTTCAGTGTGTATTTCTTAAGGGAGAGAAGCAATTCCATTTACTAGCAAGTCTCAAAGTTCTTTTTTCTCTGTAAGTATTTAGTTGGTAGAAATATTCTAGGAGATATTATTTCATTTATAATAATGTTCTTTTTAAAAATGTACTTCCAGAATAAAAATTTGAAACTATGAAATATATAGAGACTAATTATGACCTTACCACTCAGAGTTAATATTAACAAATTTAATATTATATATTTTCCTGTATAAACTTTTCAAATATTTTCAAGATTGCACCAAGGGGATTATATTATATTTATTATATTATATTATATCATATCATATATCATATTACAAGTATTTTCTCACGTCTTTAAAACCTTGCATGCAATATACAATTACTACACAATATTCTAGCTTATTCGTATAATGTGGATTTTGCTCATAATTATTTAGCTAGTCTTCTATTCTTTAAAGTATTTCTAATTTTTATCTTCATAAATAACACTTGATTGAACATCTGTGTACATTTATCTTTATTCCATAATTAAGATTATCCTTAATCTATGAAATGATTCCATTTTTTTAACTCTTTATATATAC